AGATTGTATAAACCATGGTTTAACATATGGTCATCTTTTCAACTCCTTCACTTTACTGCTATATTTCAGGGCGCCTCACTTTGATGTCGTTGGACGTCCATTGTCTCCAGCATTTGGAGTTAAAATCCTTGGGCCCTCAGGAAATTTTGTGTTGAAGGCCTTGAGTTACACACAACCACTGACTGTACATCAGGAAACCAGGCGAGCAGCAGAGAGATGTCCTAGATGGTTTATAAATATTTAATTTCTATTTATTAAAGGTAATTTAATTACATTAGAGATGAAATTACACTTTTAATATGAAGTTTAAATTGAAATACATGAGTTTCAAATACAATTTAAATATATATAAAAAAAATTAGTAACTTCATCAAATAAGCATTTTTGGACATATATTTTCTATCAATTTTAAATTAGAATTTTTTATGTTATTGTCTGAATTATACTGCTTAATATAAAATAAGAATTATTCAATATGGGACAATATCTACCTTTAATATTGAGAGTTCTTTCTTTATCTACTACTTAAAGTCGTGCAATCTTATATAATATGAATTGCACAATAAACACTTTTTTATTTAAATTAACAGTATCTTTTATTTAACAGATGCTTTTTTAGTAGAAATTAATGTTTTTTTAGTAGAAATTAATTTATTTGTAATTTTTATAAATTACATTTATATAAAATTTTGATAATTTATCTTTTACTTTCAATAGTTAAAATTTATTCATTTTTTTAATCATATTTATTAAATAATCATATTTTTATCTAAAAATTTGTCATAAATTTTAATTATTGAATATGAAAAATTGAATGGTTAAGATTTTATGTGTGAGGTGTAAAATTTATGTATAAATAGATCTCTACTAATTGTTTTTATAAAAATTTTATTTGGGTAGATTTTTCACAAGTACTAAATCATACATTTATATATCAAATGGTTTTTTTTTAATATATACTTTTAAGGCATAGATTAAAAGTATTTTTTTTCATAAATGTATATAAACTAATGTAAAAGTTGATATAAAATTTAGTATTAGTGTTAAGTAAATGAATTCAATTAAAGAATTGATAAATTAAAAGTCAATTTTTACTTTTTTTAAAATATAAATTTATGATTAGAAAATATATTTGTTATACTTTTAAACTTTTAATATATATCATAAGGAAAACCCATATTAAATAAACAAAAAAATTATAAAAAATTATTAAGCTTGAAAACTCAATTAACAATATTATTATTATTATTATTATTACTATATTGATGGGGATGGATCAATTACCCATGTTAGTAAGGTTAAAACCTATTACCTTTTACCTTAATTTAGTTTTTAGGTTTTAGCCCCGCACATTATATCACGACACTTTTAGTCTTTTAGCTTAATAAGTTTGTAGGTTTTAGCTTATCACCTTATACTATACTATGACACTTTTAACCCCTTCTCATTTATACGAATTGAAGAAAATAACCCTTACTTAAAGTTAAGTTATAACATTTTATTAGTTCTGTTAGTTGACTGTTAACGTTTTGCTAGCATTTCGTTAACGAAATTAACAAATAAAATTGAATATAAATTTCATGTTTTCTATAATAGAATGTTAACGGATATTAACAATCAGTTAACAGAGTTAACAGAATTAACATGAGTGCTATTTTCTTCAATTCGTATAGATGAGTGATTAAAAGTATCATAATATAAGGTGAAAGGTTAAAATATACGAATTTATTAAAGATAAAAGATTAAAAGTGTTATAGTATAAAATAAGGAGTTAAAACCTACAAACTTATTGAGGGAAAGGGCTAAAAGTAAGTTTTTGCCTATTAGTAAAAGTTATACATTTAACCTGAACCACATAAACACCCCATTAAGTAATTGTAAAACTACATGACCTTAAGCCTTGAGGTCCTTGACACCTCTGTTAATAGCATAATCTATCTCCATCTCCAACCACTTCACTCGTCGATTCTTTCAACTTCTCCCTCAAGGGTTTGGCTTCTCGATTCCCCTTTCTTCTTCTGCAATGGTGAAGTTTTCCTAACTTCCATTCTCATCATCCTCCCCACTTCATTTCTCTAGAACTCTCTATTCTCTTCATTTTTGCTTTTCCAATTTCCCCCTTTTTTTTTTTCTTTTTTTTTTTTTGTCCCCCTTACACAATTGGTTGCGTTCATCTCTGCACAATTGATTAAATTTGATTGCTGCATTTATGTTTGAATTTTGCAATCTAAAGCTCTCAGCTTTC